GTAATAAAAATAAGATGCTATATTTTTATTCCTAACTAAATGCATACAAAGGTAAATACAAAGCTTACCATCAGTAAACAATGTATTATGACTAAACAAAAATACAAGGTGAGCCTGGAAATACTCAAAATACAAAAGGATGTGGGCGTGTCAAAGGAACACTGGAGCCAACCTCAAAGAGCTCTGGATGGCCAAAGCTGAAACAATTTGATCAACAAAATAACAATGTAATTGTGGATTATAACCCACAGTATAGATACACCTGAGTCCACAGGGATATAAATAAATGACTACATGAATAAACAAATGTGGGAGACCAACCTTCCTTACAGAAGAATTCCAAATAATACATATACATACTTTCTGTTCCAAGAGGTGGAGCTTAATCCCACCCCATCTTGAATGTGGGCTGGACTTGCTGACTCACCACCAAAGAGAGTATGGAAAGGGAGATACTGTAACATCACAGTGGAGACATCTGGCAAACACAGACTTAACCAAGTATTCAAGGCTCACCTCACTGGAGTTGAGCCTAATGTACTGAGGAAGGAACTTCAATGCTATAGAATGTTTCTCCAAAACCCATAACCCCAGCCTATTCATGAGAAAAACATCAGACAAACCCAAAGTGACAATTATCTATACAGCTATCAGCCAGTCTGAAACAAGGAAGAAAACCACACCCAAGGAGAATGAAGCAAGTGTTGTTTCATATGAAAATGATGATTTATTGGGAACTGGCCCAGAAAAATATCCAAGCCTGATCTTCAGAAATTTGACCTTAAATTAACTATCCAATGAATATAAAATATCATCTTAATTAATGGGAAACCAGCTGCAAACCCAACTGTAAACTATACACTAACAACTGAGTCCATTTCATAACAGGATGGACCTAACCCAGGCATTCTCATCAGGGGTGACATCATCCTCAAGGAGATGAAAATTGGTTAAGTAGGACACAAAAAAGTCCTACCTTGGGCGCCTGGGTGGCTCAGATGGTTAAGCATCTGCCTTCGGCTCAGGTCATGATCCCAGTGTCCTGGGATCGAGTCCCGCATCGGGCTCCCTGCTCCTTGGGAGCCTGCTTCTCCCTCTGCCTCTCTCTCTCTCTCTCTCTGTCTCTCATGAATAAATAAATAAAATCTTTAAAAAAAAAAAACAAAAAACTCCTACCTTTATGCATAAAGTACATAAAGAGATATATAACATACTGGTGGTTTAAAATTCACGGGAAATCCATAGGAAAGAAATGTCTAAAATGTTCCTTTCAGGGAGGGAGAAGAGACAATAAAAGGTTAAGAAACATGACCAAGTCATTAAATATTTGGATACAGAAACCCGGTAGTGTGATGTTTTCAAATGCATTATCATCCTAAACTCAGAGTGCAAAATCTCTGCTAATGGGAAATCAATGACATCTTGATAGAAATTGTATTTCACTGCAGAGACTTTTTTGGCATACTGTCAATTCCTAAAATAAGCTGTTTTTTAAAAAAATTCCTTATTTTCTTTTTACACCATTAATTATATATAAATGCGTAAATAAAATCAAATACACGCCATTTATCCTGTGAATTTTTTTTTAATGTTTTATTTATTCATGCGAGTCAGAGAGAGGCAGAGGCAGAGAGAAAAGCAGGGTCCCCGCCTAGCAGGGAGCCCGATGCAGGACTTGATCCCAGGACCCTGGGATCATGACCTGAGCCAAAGGCAAGATGCTTAACCATCTGAGCGACCCAGGCACCCGTCTTGTGAATTTTTAAAATTAATTTATTAAAGCACTAATTGTACGCTTTCTTCACTCAAAGAAATTAGGGTGACATTCAACATTAAAGCCGAAAAGGACATATAAAAAGGGACATTCAGAAAACATACAGAAAAGGACATTAAAAAGGAGAAATCAAAACTCATTTATAAGAAAATTTCACTAAGTCCCTAAATAAGGAGCTTCCTGAAAAGCAGAGCAAAAAAATAAAAAAAGTATGCTAGTTCAGCTAGAGAATTCTACTCTTTCCTGATTCTAATTCTAATTCAAGTACATTCTACTAATGCCCACCTTGTGCAAGTGTGCAGCAAACTAGGGAATACCAAGTAATATAACAGATATTATGGTTCTGCAGAATATAAAATTATTCTATTCTAAAAGAGTTTCTTAGGGGCGCCTGGGTGGCTCAGCTGGTTAAGTGACTGCCTTCGGCTCAGGTCATGATCCTGGAGTCCCTGGATCGAGTCCCGCATCGGGCTCCCTGCTCGGCGGGGAGTCTGCTTCTCCCTCTGACCCTCCCCCATCTCATGTGCTTTCTCTCTCTCTCATTCTCTCTCTCTCTCAAATAAAATAAAATAAATCTTTAAAAAAAAAAAAAAAAGTTTCTTACACCTAAAAGGCCAAAATCATAAATACTCGGAAGCTGGAAGTCTGCAGAAGCTGTTTTTTCCGGTGATCTAATTCAAAGTGGGGAGTGAACTTAGAAGATCTAAGAATAGAAAGTGAAACTCCTCGGAGATTTCTCAAACATCATCAGTTGTGTTAAGCAGGATTTGTGCAGTCAATAAAAACTTTGAAAAAATTAAGGATCTGAAGTACAAATAAACTGGTGTAACTTTAAAATAACTAACACTTAACCAAAAAAACCAACAAAAAAAACCCCTTTCTATTAAGAAAATTAAGGAGTCTTTTTGTTTCACTCACCCAAAGAGCTAGCCTACTTCCATACACCAGAAAGGACTAAATTTTCTTGTCATGGAACAGATGAGTGCCATGAGTGCCAGACTACAGAAAATAGTGCTATAGAGCATGTCAACAACAGAAACAGTTTCTATGATTCCTCTCGAAAGGTCATAAATGGGTGGTTATGTCCCCAAATCTAAAATCATCACTGGCCTGATAGTTAAGCCCCAAAAATCTAAATGAGGTATACAATGTAATTTTTATTTTAAGGGAAAACTGCAGGTAGATGACCACAAGTCCTGTAAGTTTTTGCACAACTCAGTTCTTCTGAAAGTCAGTTTTGTTCATTTCATCAGATTTTAACTGCTTGGAACTATTACTGAGCCACAGATGGTGGTGTCCAGGGAACCCTCAAACTGCAGAACGGAAGTAAGAGCTGCACTCTGAGCATCGGAAGAGAGCTGATTTGTCAGTAATACAGGATGCTTCACCAGAAGTATGGACCGACTTTCCAAAGACTGGTCCTGAGGATATCATTTCTCAGTATTAGCTGGCCAGAAACTTTTAAATAGCAATCACTTCCCTCTACCTTTCTCAGCTAAAGTTTTTTTTTTTTTTTAAGATTTTGTTTATTTGACAGAGAGAGACACAGTGAGAGAGGGAACACAAGCAGCGGGAGTGGGAGGGGGAGAAGCAGGCTTTGGAGCGGGGAGCCCGATGTGGTGCTCGATCCCAGGACCCTGGGATCACGACCTGAGCCGAAGGCAGACGCTCAACGACTGAGCCACCCAGGCGCCCTCAGCTAAACTTCTTGAAAAAGTAATCTAGATTCACTTCAACTCCTTGACAATCTGGCTTCTACCCCTTACTGCCGTGTCTTACCAAATCCCAGACATTCTTTACTTGCCTCCTCTGAAGCATACAGAAATGCTGACCATGCATTTTTTAGCTAAGACAACACACCAATCTCCTTTCACTTCCTCTACCTCATCTCCTTCACTGTCACCTCTTCCTTTTTTCTCCCTCTCAATATCAGAGTTTCCAAAGGTTTGACTCAGGACTCTTCATTGACATCCTCTTTCTGGGTAACCTAATTCAAACCACTGCTTCCATTACTACCTATAATGAAACCACCCAAAGTCTGAGAACGTATGTAAAACTCTCAATGCAATGTTTAACTGTAATTGAGCCACTCAATAAATGACAGCCTAACCCAACCTACAATTTCTATTTGATATCCAACTGCATGAAATCAACCTCTACTCACCTGACAAGCACCTCAAAGTCAAAAACAGAGTAAAACCCTCCCCTTAAATCTGTTATTCACCCTGTACGCTCACATTACCATCCCTTCAGTTTTCAAATCAGTTACCTGGTAATTATCCTACACCCTCCTTCCCTTAGCCCCCATCTTCATGAATTCCATAAACTCTAACTCCCTTATTATATCTGCACTTTATTCTCCATGACACTGCCACCGCCTTAGAAGAATACATTTTCACCATCTGTGTGGATTACAGAAGACTAAATGTCTCTGGCTCTTGTTTCTTCCACCAATTTTTTCTCCAAAATGCTTAAGGGCAAAGCAAAAACTGAGTTTTGAATTCTTACAGTTTGGGGATAAAATTCTAATTTTTAACCTCACCACAGAAGGCCCTCCCTAATCTGGCTTCGGCATTTCCTGCCATTCTCCCTCACTTGCTCTTCCTAAAATGGTGGTATTTGGCATTCCCTGCCTTTATAGAAGCTCCTTCAACTGCCTTGAACACCAGCCCTCCGTCCCTCTGCCTGGTTCTTAACCCTAAATGCTTATCAGAGTCACCGAAGGAACTTAGGAGATATATAAAATTCAGATGCCATTTTTTAAAAGAACTTCCCCAGTTATTCTGATAAAAAGAGTTGAGAGCTACCTGTGTGCAGTGCATCCCTGAGTGTCACCACATCCGGGGGCTTATGTGACCCATCTTCTCTGCCTTTGATGACTTCTCTTCTACCCTCTGGGAACTTTGTATATGTTTCTGTCACTGCACTTAGGGCGCTGACTTAAGCTGTTTACTTTGGTCTGGCACCTCCCCCACCCACCTGCTCCATCCTCACCACATCTGAGCCTGTTAGGGCAAGGATCTGTTTTGTATATTTTTACTCCAGTGCTTGACACATATTAAGTGACAGAAAAATGTCTTAAACGTTTAAAAAATAATTACCTGGGCTAATGGCCTACAGAGAAGTGATCCTCTCAGTCGAGATTCCTAGGCTTATTTGTGAATGGGTGAGGATTTGCACTCACATATACCCAGACTCTGGCCCCAAGAGAACATTTCTGAAATAAAACAGAAAAACAAAACTGATGAAGTGGTTTTTCTAAGACATCTGAGCGTCATTCTCATCAATTTTATTAAGCGGGGTCAGATGGTACCAATCGGTCAAACGGCACGGGCTCGGCGAGGTTAACAGCCCGCCCGTGCCCCCGAGTCTGAAGAAGGTGCGAGTGCGCCTCCGACTCCGCAGGGGGCTGTCCCTGCGCAGAGAGCAGCTGGGCACCTCGTCCAACACCCCCAAATCGGCGAGGGCAGGTAAACTGAGCCCTCGGTCCGCCAGTAACTCTTCCTCCCAACCTTCCCCCCTCCAGGCCCCACGCCCGGTTCCCGCAGGGCCGAGCGCGTCTTCGGCCCCTTGCGGCCCCGGCAGGCGCGGAGGCGGACAAAGCCCCTCCGCCGGCCCCTTCAGGTGGGGAGGGGAGGGCCATCCGGGACAAGCACGCTCTCGGAAACCGGGAGAAGGACCCGGGGCGCGAGGACGGAGACTGTCTCCCGCGAGCCCCCGACTCATCCCCCAAGTAAACTACGCAGTGGCCAGACCAAAGGCAGCTCGCATGAGACAGCAGCGGAGACGACGGCGAGAGAGGGGTGGGGGTCCCGACGCCCGGGACCCCGGGCTGCAGGAGGCGCCCGCGGGCTGCTCCCGCCTCCGGCGCCGCTGCCCTCCTGAGGGAAGCAGCCCCGCTCGCGCCGCCCCTCCCCCACCCGCCCGGGCCTCACGCGCCGCGGCGGTTACTCCACGCGGCCCCGCGCGCACTAGTCGCGCGCGAGCGCTCGAGCCCGCCGGTCGCCTCACCCCGCTCGGCCTCGCGTCGGCCGCTAGCCCACCTCCATGCCTCGCCTCAACGGTCGGCCGAGGGCGGATGTGCGGGCCCACGCCCGGCTGCCTCGGTCCGGACCGGGCCACCCAACCCGGCGGCGCCGCGCGCGAAGGCCCCGCCCCCCCTGCGCTCGCGGCGCTGGCCCAACGCAGGCCCCGCCCCCTCCGCGGCTTTCTCGTGTTGGTGCGCCGAGGGGCGGGGCGTGGGAAGAGACGCACCCGGGCTCCGCGGGGAGGCCGAGGAGCTCGCGTCACTTCCGGGATGCCGGGCTCGGCCAATCGGGAGCGCCCGTGTTGGGGGGAGGGGCATCGGCTACGGAGCGGAGAACGCGGCCCCGCCCAGGACTTGCTTCCGGTAAGGGCCGCACCCTGATGCGCCTACCCTCTTGCGTTTTTCTTCCGCCCCTTTTCTTTTTTTAACGCCTCAGGTGCTTCAGCACGGTGTGTTAAAGATCAGGAAGGATTTTTTTTTTCCTTTTTTAAAGCCTTTAAATACCTAAGATACGTAATCAACACCTAACTTTGGGATAGATACACCTTGCATTACAGAAAAAGGATACACGAAGTATCGTAAAGACAGCAGCAAACACCACTGGGAAGCATACCCGGTTTGGACCGCCTACCCCTGACTTGGATGGCGAGGTGTCTCCACCTGCCTCTACTCTGATGGAGGAGGCGGAAACGCGGAGCAGTGACCGGTGCTAACCAACGCTACGGAGGACCGGAGCGGCTGGCACTGGCGCACCAGCGGCGGCCTCACCGCAGGGACCCGTCACCGAAGACCGAATGGAGGCCGGGAGCGTGGGCGGGCAGGGAGAACCTTCCAGCAAGGGGGCGTGGCTTGGCGGCTCCCCCTCCCCCCACTCCTGTCCGTTGTGGCACCTAAACTGTCCCCGCACCGCGCGGTGCAGCGCGAGAGGAACGACCGTTATTCGCCTCGTTTTTCGATGCTTCTCTGCCACACACCTCCCCCCCCCGCAAGTGTTTAAGTTACAGAACCGTTGCACACCGTACTCGTTACAATAAGTTGTGTATGTGTCCTCATTAAAGTACTATGTTTACGGAATACTGGTCTGAAATGAGGTTCTGGTTGGCTATTGGCAAGAAATTTAAGAGATGGATAAGATGATAAAAATCAACCTGGATTTCGTATTTCCCTGACATCACCATTTTCATGTAGACCCTTGCAGAATGTATTACTTAGGTTTTGACTAAAGTAGACGGGAAAGAGTGCTGGTAAAACGTCAAGCTCCTCACCACCACGGCAGAGACAATTATCACCTTGAATACTGAACCAGGGTATTTTGCCACCAGACACACGAAAATGTTTTAACTTCTTCGAAAATTAGAAAAAAAGGCGCAAGCTTAGGTTGGATCAAATCTTTCAATAGTTAACATGTGTCTTTATACCAACATAGTCATAAAGTAGTTTTGGTATTTTTAAAGAGGAACGTGCTCTTGAAGGCAAAAAGTGTCCAATTCACAATTTCATCCTGCCTCTGAGCCTTCTCTGAGCCTTTTAATTCTACCACATTTGCTTTCAATCTGTCAATGATACATTGATATATTTGCATGCATTTTAACTTTATGAAATTACCCTAAATGCGTTTTACTGGAAACTTTTTTACACTCAACTTTATGTCCTGTGTCTCACTGATCCAGGGTATACTCAGGATTTATAGAGCCCAGAGCTTACACAATTTGAGTAGGTTAGGGTTAGGGGCTCAGCGGGCAGCCCCCCTGCCGTTGTAGGACCCCAACGGTCCCCTTTATGAAAACAAAATTAGGAATAAAATGAACATTTAGGATGATTGGCACAAATTATACATTTTTTAATTAGACAAAATCCACTAATATAAAAAAAAATCCCCCCCCCGAAAAACAAACTACAAACACAACTCTACAAAAATTGTGTGTTTTGGGGCACCTGGGTGGCTCAGTTGGTTAAGCGACTGCCTTCGGCTCGCGTCATGATCCTGGGGTTCCGGGATCGAGTCCCACATCAGGCTCCCTGCTCAGCGGGGAGTCTGCTTCTCCCTCTGACCCTCTTCCCTCTCGTACTATCTCTCATTCTTTCTCTCTCAAATAAAATCTTTAAAAAAAAAAAAAAACGATGAGGACTAATATATTAAAAAAAATTGTGTATTTTGGCTTCACACACTTTAATCACCTCAACAATAAGGTTGAAGATCATTTTCAATAGAGAACCCAAAGGGAAAACAGTCTTTTCTCTAGCAAGGGTGATGAAATTTTATTAAGAGTTTATAAAAGTTGGGCGCCTGGGTGGCTCAGTCCTTAAGCGTCTGCCTTCCGCTCAGGTCATGATCCCAGGGTCCTGGGATCGAGCCCCGCATCGGGCTCCCTGCTCCGCGGGAAGCCTGCTTCTCCCTCTCCCACTCCCGCTGCTTGTGTTCCCTCTCTCGCTGTCTCTCTCTCTCTCTGTCAAATAAATAAATAAAATCTTTAAAAAAAAGTTTATAAAAGTTTTGGGGCATGTGACTGGCTCAGTCAGTAGAGTGCAGGACTCTTGAGCTGAGGTTGTGTGTTTGAGCCCCAGGTTGGGTGTAGAGATTACTTAAAATCTTAATGGTGCCTACATGGCTAAGTTGGTTAAGCGTCAGACTCTTGATTTTGGCTCAGGTTGTTATCTCAGGGTTGTGAGATCAAGCCCCAAGTCAGGCTCTGTGCTCAGCAGAGTCTGCTGGCTCTCTCTAGCTCTCTTCCTTTCCCTCGGCTCCTCCCCTCGATCTCTGTCTCTCTCTCAAATAATAAATAAATATTTAAAAAATAAAATGGGGTACCTGGATGATTCAGCCAGTTAGTGGGCTGCCTTTGGGTCAGGTCGTGAGCTCAAGCTCAGCGGGGAGTCTGCTTCTCCCTCTCACTCTGTGCACCCGCAGATGTGCTCACTCTCAAATAAAATCTTTAAAAAAATAAAACTTAAAAATAAAAAAGCTTATAAAAGTTTTTTTTCAAATTGATTCCATCTGATAATGTCATGTAAATTTTTAGGGTTGTCAAATTAAAATTACTATCAAGTTTTTTTTTCACATGACCTGTAAGATTTCAGAGCCCAGTTTCTGATGTAGTGACTGAGCCTAAATATTTAGAATTGATGACACATTATTACAAGGTTATCATAGATGTTATCTTTAGAAACATATTGTGACTGGGGCGCCTGGGTGGCTCAGTTGGTTAAGCGACTGCCTTCGGCTCAGGTCATGATCCTGGAGTCCCGGGATCGAGTCCCGCATCGGGCTCCCTGCTCAGCAGGGAGTCTGCTTCTCCCTCTGACCCTCTTCCCTCTCGTGCTCTCTATCTCCCATTCTCTCTCTCTCTCTCTCTCTCAAATAAATAAATAAATAAAATCTTAAAAAAAAAAGCTATTAAAAAAAAGAAACATTGTGACTTTTATATGTCAGTATTTTATGTCAAAATTTCAGTACTTTGGGGTGCCTGGGTGGTTCAGTCAGTTAAGCAACTGCCTTCGGCTCAGGTCATGATCTCAGGGTCCTGGGACCAAGCCCTGCATTGGGCTCCCTGTTCAGTGGGGAGTCTGCTTCTCTTTCTCCCTCTGCCCCTCCAAAACCCCCCACACCCACTGTTTGTACTCTCTCACACGTGCTCACTCTCTCAAATAAAATCTTAAAAAAAAAATATTTGGCGCCTGAGTGGCTCAGATGGTTAAGCCAACTGCCTTTGGCTCAGGTCATGATCCCGGGGTCCTGGGATCAAGTCCCACATCAGGCTCCCCGCTCAGCGGGGAGCCTGCTTCTCCCTCTGCCTCTGCCTCTCTGTCTCTCATGAATAAATAAATAAAATCTTAAAAAACAAATTTTTTTTTCAGTACTTTCGGCATGCCTGGGTGGCCAGTCGGTTGGGCATCCGACTCTTGGTTTCAGATCAGGTCATGATTTCAGGGTCCTGGAATCAAGCCCTACGTGGAGCTCCATGCCGAGTGGGGAGTCTGAGATCCTCTCTCTCTCCCTCTCTTTGCCCCTCCCCCCCCACATGCTCTCTCCTCTCTGATAAATCTTTAAAAAAATTTCACTACTTTCTCCAGTTTGATCATGTGACCCATTCCTCATCATCATTTGCATTATCAACAACCCTAGAATCTCTTACTCATTATTTCTATTTGAAATTGATCTCTTAATGAATTATTGAATTTTTTGTTATAATTTCTACTGATTTCAACATCATTCATCTTCACTTTTGTCTCATATTCCTTTAATTTTTGTCAACTTTATGTAGTTTATATAAAGTTATACACAATAAAATACAGAGATTCTAAATAGTGCATGGTTTGAGGACTTACTTTTTAAAGATTTTATTTATTTGACAGAGAGAGACACAGCAGGAGAGGGAACACAAGCAGGGGGAGTGGGAGAGGGAGAAGCAGGCTTCCCACGGAGCAGGGAGCCCGATGTGGGGCTCGATCCCAGGACCCTGGGATCATGACCTGAGCTGAAGGCAGACGCTTAAGGACTGAGCCACCCAGGCGCCCTGGTTTGAAGACTTTTAACAACTCCATAATTTCATGCAACCATCTCCAAACATGATATAAAACATTTTTTTCAACCCAGAAAGTACCCCTGGGACAGTCTCCAGTAAATCCCCTTCTCCACACTCACCCAATGGAACTGGTGATCTGATTTCTGTCACTTTATCTATCAGCATAGATTTAGACTGTTCTAGAACTTTTTTTTTGAGAGAGAGAAAGAGCCAGAGGGAGAGGGAGAGAGAGAATCTTAAGCAGGCTCCATGTTCATCAAGGGACTCAAAGTCACAACCCTGAGATCATGACCTAAGCCAAAACCAAGATTCTGATGCCTAATCAACTGAGTCACCTAGAACTCTAGGTACCCCTAGAACTCTTTTCAATGAAATTATATATTATGCACTCTTTTTTCAGTCTTCTTTTGCTCAACATGAAATGTGTGAGGATCAGAGATGTCACTGCATATATCAGCAATTCATTTTTATTGTGGAGTATGATATCATTAAGTGAATATACCACAATTTTTTTCACTCATATACTGATTTTGGGATATTGGGTGATTTTAAGTTCTGCTATGATGAATAAAACTGTTATGAATATTACTGTACAAGCCTTGTTTGTTTTTTCTTATTTATTTAAAAGGGAGAGTGAGAGCAAGAGTGAGGGAAGGGGCAGAGGGAGAGGGGGAGAGAGAATCTCAAGCAGACTTCCCACTGAGCTCGGAGTATAATGCAGGGCTCAATCCCATCACCCTGACATCATGACCTGAGCCAAAATCAAGCTGTATGTTCAACTGAGCCGCCCAGGCGCCCCTGCTTGTTTTCTCTTATTGTTGAGTTTTAAGAGGTTTGTGTATATTTTGGATGATAGTTTTTTTTTTAAGATTTTATTTATTTGACAGAGAGAGACACAGCGAGAGAGGGAACACAAGCAGGGGGCGTGGGAGAGGGAGAAGCAGGCTTCCCACGGAGCAGGGAGCCCGATGTGGGGCTCGATCCCAGGACCCTGGGATCATGACCTGAGCTGAAGGCAGACACCTAACGACTGAGCCACCCAGGCGCCCCTGATGATTGTTCTTTATCAGCTGTGTCTTATGCAAACATGTTTTCTGAGTCTGTGGCTTCTCTTCTCTTGATATTGTCTTTCACAGAGCAGAGGTTCTAATTTTAATGAAGTTCAGATTGTCAATTATTTCTTTCATGGACTATGCATTTGGTGTTGTAACTGAAAAGTCATTACCATACCCAAGCTCATCTATGTTTTCTCCTATGGTATTTTCTAGGAGTTTTATAGTTTTGCATTTTACATTTAGATCTATGATCCATTTTGAGTTAATTTTTGTGAAGTGTGTAAGGTCTGTGTCTACCTATTTTTTTTTTTTTTGGATGTCCAACTGTTCAGCACCACTTGCTGAAAAGACTGTCTTTGCTCCGTTGTGCTGCTTTTCCTCCTTTGTCAAAGATCAGTTGATGGGTCAGATCATTTATGGGGACCTATTCCTAGGCTCTCTATTCTGTTCCACAGATCTACTTGTCTATTCTTTTTTTTTTTAATATTTTATTTAT